AAGAGAAACCAAAGTAAAAATGCAAGGAAAAGGGCCGAAGTAAGTATACCAGGCTCCCCTTTTTTCCAATTTATAGGTCGGCCAGGAATTTGGGCTTGAAAATCCTCAAAGTTCCCAGAGACCCAGAAAAAGTCGTCGTCATTTACATCTTTGTCTGGTGTGTGTTTAATTATCTTCTCTCGGCGGCGGCGTATCCTAAGGTAATATACCCACCCATCTTCTTTTGAGCCGATGGAGTATTGATGGAAAATTTCGGCCAGGCCAAGGTTTAGTCCGGCTTGATGGTTTAGTGCGGCTATTCCCATAATGATGCGGTATGAATTGGTAGACAGTTGGGTGGGGCATAATCTGGTCTGCCTAAGAAATTCACAGATCAACGGTTGAACCGGAAATCGTAGTCCGGTTTCTATGACAGATAAAAGGGTGAAGGGGACGAAGCCTTCATTATCCCAGGGAGTGATGTCTTTTTCGGCCAAAGTTAAGTGGACATCATCAGGTATGTTATAGTCCTTCCTGAATTCAGCTAAACCGCCCGGGGTTTCTACCAAATACCTATACTTACCCATTTATGGTATAAATTAAGAATAAGTTAGATCGGTTCAAGGGTTGTACTTAGTAGCTCGGTCGAGTGTACAAGGGAGTGCTTGGGCCACATCTATCGTATAATTTAAGGATAAATTAGATCGGTTCAAGGGTTGTACTCAGTAGCTCGGTCGAGTGTGCAAAGGAGTGCTTGGGCCACCTAAGTCTGCAAAGTGGAAAACATAGGGGTTAAGCACAGATCATTTGACCGTGCTACAAATAAAAGCAAGACAAGCCCTACTTCGGCTATGTGGGATGCTACAGTTTGTATCTCGGTTCGGACTTCGGGTTTGGTTGATTATTTCGGTTTGAACTGTGGGTTTTGTTACTTCGGTTGAGCCTCTAGGGGCAGCTTTCTGAGTCTGGTTTAGAAACTAAGAAAGCTGGCTTGGCCCCAAAGGCTTAGCTCGGTTATAGACCGAAGTACCTAGTTCAATATGTGCAAACTTTGTTCGGTGATCTTATCTCGGCTAAAGTGGTTCAGAAGAAACTACTGATATTCCTACAAGTTCTAGTTCGGTTATTGTCTGAATCTATCTACATATATGGCGCAAACAGTATCCTAGTTCGGTTGGGACGTGATTCTGGATTGAAAATTAAGTTTTCTATAGGGTATATGACGTATACTCATAGGATCTACTGAAAGTACAGAAGCGTAGCAAAAATGGAAAAAATGTTTTGCAAAAACACACTAAACATAATGCATTGAACAGATACGAAGGAAAAACATGGAAGGAAGATGGATTTGCTTACCAGATGGAATAAAAGAGAACTGGAGTCGGCAACAGTATCAGCAAATGAAGAACATGAGCTTGATAATGGAAGAAACAAAGGCACAGAGAGAGAAGACGAAAGAGTAGTAGAGAAAGTGATTCAAAAAATAAAAAGGTTGTTTTGGTTAATGGACGAAAGGGCGGGACTGTTCAAATTTTTCGTACTACGAGGGCGGCGTGACAGCTGCTCCCAGCCTATCAGAACCTGCCACGTGTCATTGGAAAGGGAAGCGTTACAGTCGTGATTGAAGAGACGTTTTGACCGGACAAAATGGAGCCCGGAGTAAAAGTTAGCTCGGCTCAAAAGTCTTAAGAGTTTTTAGCTCGGCTGGAGAGGTTAAAGTGTTTTTAGCTCGGCTGGAAAAGCTTAAAAAACTCCCGCTCGGCTGGTATACTGGTAATCCCAATCATGCTCTGCAGATGGAATTAAGGGGCAATTGAGAGGGTAATTTTTGGAAAAATTTGGGCCGAGCTGTGAGATGGACTTTATGGCCCAAAGTACGAAGGACAGGATAGAAAGGCCCAATAGAAATGTAAAAGTTACTCCGGCCCAGGTGAGGTAAAATTACTTTGGTGCAATAAGATGTAAAGCTACTCTGGTCTGGGCAAATGGAGTTAGGTCGGTCCCAGTAATAGTCCGGTTGAGACGTATGAAGGTTAGAGCGGCCAAAACACTGCTACTCGGTAGCTCGGTCTTGGAGTTGTACCGGTCGCCATTTGTTAGTTCAGTCCAGTCGTGTTATGGGTTGAGCAGAGGAGAACCGAGATGAGGAGTAAAAGCAGAACCGAACTAAGAATAGTTCGGCCTAGTCAGTGGCTCTGCATAGCCAAGCTTATTTCGGTCATATCGTAGTTCGGCCAAAGTAAAAACCATCCCACTTGATTTAAGCAGTGGGGGGGGGGGGGTAAAAGGATAAGCATTATCCTTAGGAGTATGAATCCTAGGAGGACTCTACATGGAAGAGTACAAGTCCTACTAGGATTGTGCCACTCGAAACCTATAAAAGCTCACAAGCATCACCTTGGAGGAGGTAACAGAATACAACACACAACTTTGCTTCATGAATACACAGAGCTTTGTTTATTTGTCAAGTTTACTGACTTAGGCATCGGAGAGGTTTCCGGGGCACACCCGCCGGCTAGCTCACGCTTCTGTTTTCAGGTGATAAAGCGACGTCGTACGGAGGAGCGTGGACTTAGTCAACAGGATTATACGAGAAGGTGTATTTCTTTCCCGTACATTTATCATAGAAATACATAACTAACATCACAAAAACACATGATGAGATGCTATAGAATTTTCCAAAAGACTAAGGACTTTTCTTCTATTTATAAAGCCTAAAAGTTTCCTAATACTAACCTGCAAAAGTAGACAGTTGTTTCAAACTTTTACTTTTCTCAACAGAGGCCTGCAACTCTCTCTATCTCTGTGTATCAGACTTTTCACTTATTTTCACTTATCTCTCTCTCTATGGCCCCGTTCAAGAATGAGTTATTTTAGTTAATTTTTTTTTTTTAGTTATTTTAATCTGATTACAAAAATTTATTTGGAATAATTTATGAAGCATGGATAGTTTGAAAAATATGTCGTACTCGTACCGGGTACTTACCGGCGTATGGTACATCGTGTGGTACTTTTACATACGTACCGAGTATACGAAACACGTACCTAAATTTTTCCTTCTTAATTTTTAGTGTATCTATATATCTAAGCCGTACCATACCTCAGTTGAAACAATATTTTCTTCTACTACAGAGATAAAACTTTTTTCACTAGATTTCTTTTTTATTTTTAGTTTTATACTGAGGATGTTTTTAAAATTAAACTATGGTTTGTAAAATATATTGACATTTGATTTTGATTTATACCTTTACTTTTGACATTAAATGTTAATTGTTGGTCGAATTTAAATATATTAAACCATTTAATTAATTTTTACATTACTCTAAAGTAAAAATAAATATTTTTTTACAAGCGTACTAAGCTATATTCGTACCCTATTTTTTTTTAATTTTACCATATCGACGTACCTGTATCATACCAGTACCAGTACTCGTACCCGTACCCATACTCGTGCTTCATAGGGGATAATAATTGGCTTTTTTGAAATTGATATGATAGTTGTAAGAGAAAAAATAAAATGATTTTTATTTGAATATGACATTTTAACTTATTTTGTCTTCTTGACTATTTTAGGTTTTTTTTTTTGGGGGGGGGTCCTTATTAACTATTTTAACCACTAAATTTTGACTTTATTACTCATTCTATTAGATTGAAGTAACTTTGGTTTAGAGAGGGTGTTTGGCACGTGACTTTTTTGATTAAAATAATTAAAAAAATCAAGATATTCAGGGTTGGTTTGGGAAGTGGGTTGGCTTTTTGGTTTTTTTTGGCTATTTTAGCCTGGGCTAAAAAGCTTGGTTTGGGAAGAGCTTTTTGGCTTTTTGACTTTTTTGACTTTTTTTGTGAGAGAAGAGTGTAATGATTATGGGTTGGATGTGATGTTTTGTTTGTTGTGGCTAAAATAGCCTATTTTGTCTTTTGTGGCTAAAATAGCCAAAAAAGACTCCAATCCACCTTTCCAAACAGTGCCTATAGCATCACTATCTCTATTTTTTGAACATTTTTTTTTTCTTTTCAAACTAGCTCTTAATTAGGTCAACAAGGTGAGTTCAAATGTACAAGGGAAGAAAAACTCCGCTTGGTAGCAGGAGTGAGGGGCGGAATAGGGGTGACGGTGGCAGGGGCGGAAAGGTAATAACAAATCCGACAAAAAATGAAATTAAAATATTTGGTGTGACATTTATTTTCCCTAGTTGTGACATTTGGTGTGATAAAAAATGAATGTAAAATACTTTTCATAATTAATGAAAAATAATTTATTTGAGTCGAAAACAATATTCACTTTTTTAAAATAGAAAATATTTTTTAAACTACACTGGCCAACCTTATCACACAACCATCATCACCATCACCTCTACCCCTACTACTACCACCACCATCATTTTTATTACCACCTCCACCACTCCACTACCATCCCGCTATCACCACACCAACCCAATAGCCAAAACTATTAATATATTAGTTTTAAGATCACAACCAAACATGTTTGTCTGGATGTTTGGTTTTAGCTAAAATAGTTAGTAAAGACAAAAAATAAAAATAAAATAAAATAAAATAACAAATTAGACAAAATATTATATCCTACACATCAATAAATCATTTTTTTTTCTTCCACCATATATTCAACTACAAAAAAACCCACAAATTATCCCAAACACACATTTTTTCATCTCATAAAATAGTCAAAAGCTACTAAAAAAACCAAGTTCCCAAACGAGCACTCTGTTTGATTTTGATTTTTCAAATATAGTTTTTAAAATTTTTAGTTTTTTATATTTCATATTTTGTTGTCTATAATGAATCTTTTTTATATTTTAATCAATTTTTTTATAAATATTTTTGGATACACCTAAAAGTAAAATATTTGTGAATATTTTTATGTTTCAACTACATCTAAGTTAGATACATCTAACAGTTTAAAAAAAAAAATGATTAAAAGAATAAAAATGGAGATTTATACAAAAGGACTTAACATTATTTTAAGGTATGATTAAAATTTAGGTTGAAATACCAAATTAAAGTAGACTGAAAAAAAGGAGCATGCATGAAACGTCAATAAGTTTTTGACAAAAGCTAAAAAAGAGAAAGCTTACATGATATTGTTCATTACATCAATAAGCAGATTTATACAAAAGGACTTAATCAAAACTGCAGTGGCATTATTTTTCAACTTCTACGAGCCTTCTCTCTCCAGTTCTGTGTTCTTTCACCCATATTACTACTCTAGGCTTCAAAACTATAGTTACATCATGAATATTTGAATGGCAACAGAACGTTGGGACGGTGTCTGCAGAAAAATATCCTTTGCGCGTGTGCGCACAAAGGGAGAGAGAGAGAGTGAGATGATCAGAACTGTACTTCTCATGAACAAGAGGGCTGTAAGCTAGAAACCACATGTTGCGTACCGTCTCCTCCTGCATCCAAAATGAGAAAAGCCATAGATTATTAGCAACAGTGGCGGCTCCAGGAATCAATGATTAAGTTCTACAAATTCTATAAGGAAATTTTTTCACTCTTATCAATATTATATAAAACATTTGTTTTCTCTATAAATTTTAGTGCATTCATACTATTCTTTTTGTTAAAAAAAATGTAATTACAAAAATTTCTATAGTTCCTCTCAATGAATTTCCTTACTTTGGTTGGAGAAATTTGAAGGATATTTGGTGATTGGTGGAGTGGACTCATTGAATTCCTTTTTGTACTTAGAGAAATCTAGTTATCTTTGGGACTTGAACAAATATAGAGATGACCTAAAAAAAATTTAAAGGTATGATACTCTATGCTAAAGTGCAATAAGGTCTTTTTTTTATAAGTTAATAGGGTCAATATTATCCATATATGATATATATATATAATTTTTTTTGGTGATTTTTCAAATTTTAGGGGCGTCAATTGACTCATGCCAATGTATGTGATGCGACCTATGGGTGCAACAAACAAATGTATTTTATTTTATTGGCATTGCGGTGTTCGGATCAAAATCCAACTAATCCCCAGGAGTGCACAAGCGCTCGGCAAAGAGTTTCCCGCAAGTGCACCAAGCCCCAAGAAATTGTTAGCACCTAAGAGGTTTCGGTGGTGCTATACGCACCAATTGGTATACTAATTAATGTACCAACATAGTTATGACATTGTCATTTAAAAATTACGACCCCACCCATTATATAAATTATAAAGACCTAAAGCCTCTAAAATTATGACACATCATCTGTTAGTATACTAATTAGTATACCAATTGGTTCATATAGCATTATTCAAGCGGTTTTGATTCTTGAATCTTGGAGAGAGCACATTTCCAAAATCCAAGGTCTTGCCACCAAGCCAATCCTTTGGGGTTTGCAACAAACAAATGTATTGGTGCAACCAACAAAGTAATCGGTGCTGAAAAATCTAGAAATCCCCTAGATATTGATTTGTGATTATGTATCAATTTTAAACATTAAATAACCATCCCAATCAAACAATCAAGACAAATCAATACAACGATTTAATGTGGAAAAATCATAATTGGAGCGCCTCCAATTGTGATAAAAAAAACTACGGCCAAAAGTCACAAAACAATCCATTAAAAAGACATAAAGGAATTACACAGGTATACTCTCAATTACCTAGTGAATCCACGCCCAAATTGAACCAATCCCTATGTGCCTCTTCCAGCCCCGTTTTCACCTCGGAATTGTCTTGCCCAATGTTGAATCCATAACGCTGATGTCGAATCACGACGATGAGCCACTCTAGAATCCACCAAAACTTCAGGCTCGAATTCCCCAGAATCCACTGAAGAAGAACACTCTTTTGTATTGAATAAACAAACAATCCTTTGATGTATTCTTCTTAAACCATGAGTTGAATACTCAATCAAACGTCAAAGAAAACTAGCAAAATAGCCTCAGATATAAACCCTAATAACCAAGAAGAAGATCTGGAAGCGTAACCCTAAAATCTGACTGAATCACATATTTATAGCAATCTGTTCCGCGATCTCCGCTTGAGCGCCGGAATGGCCGCTTGAGTGCAGGAAATTCCGCTTGAGCGGGAAAAAACATCTCCCAATATTTTTGCAGGTGATCAAACTTCTGGAACCAAGGATTATCCGCTCGAGCGTACAATTGCCGCTCGAGCGGACAGGCAACTTTGAATGCACTTTTGCATTTTGCTTTGGGGGCGTTGCCCCTCAACCCCGCCGTGGCGTTGCACCCTAGACCCCCGCGAGCTTACCGGGTAGCTCGATCCCCGTCATAGTCAGCGAAGTGGCAAACATGAAAGAATAAATATCACAAACTTCTCTGCAAGGCACAATTCAAGTTGGATTCACATCTAATTACTCATAGCCTCACTGAAATAAAAGAATGAATAAAAGTACAACTGAAAGGAGTTTTGTCAAACGGGATTGCCAAGATTAAAAACCTAATAGGTGCAAATAGACAAAATAAATATTTAAAATATATATTTAAGCAAATTTTCAAACTTGGCAGATGGGGTCAATTAACCCCATACTCTATAGCCTAGCGCCGTCCCTGATTAACAATGAGAATAATTGAATAAGTAACTTGCTTAGTGAGTTGAGAATAGTATTTCTGAATTGGTTCATTTTAAGGTTAAATGTGAGGTTGCTTTCATTGTCAAATATTAAAGCTTCTTTTTCTCGTCCAGATGTGCTTTTGCGTGTCATGTCATGGCTATTTTTATAAAAAGGAGATGCATTTTTCGTGTAAAAAAGTTGAGAACTATCCATACTTTTGACATCTACCTGAGCTCTCTGGGTCCCACATCACAACGTCTTTCTGCCAGTTCTTCGACAACTACTGCTCGAACAACAGCAGCTCCAACCTCTGCTGTTATATCTCAAATACTGCAGTCATAAGTAGGTCATAGCAAAAACAAATAAGTAGAGGTTACTTTTACCTTTATTTTACTAATTCATTCATAGGATGTCCCCAAATTGAGAAATATTTTCTTTGCAAATTTTACAAGACCTGCTTAGGGATATATGATGAGTAGATCCAATTTAGGGATATATTGATGGGTCGATCCAATCATCCGACCCATGAAATCAAGGTCAAATTGTGTTAATTATGGATACTTAATATAAAGAGAAAAGGAAACTTGATTGTAGTATAGCCATACAGTTCAAACAATTTGAAAAGCCTTTGGGTCACACAACCACAAGTCAGAGTCAGATCCAATATCAGTTGGATTGTAGTCTTTGCATAATGCAAAATAACCTATTAGCTGATTATTGATCTGCTTTAACAAGCATGTTATCCAAACCTATTACAAAGGAACGACTTTCCGTGCTACTATTTAGGTGCACACTTAAGAATAGGTTGAAACCTTACCCACTAAGAAGGAAAATACAAGTACTGAGGCTAGCTATGAAGCACTGACAAACATCAAAATAGGTGCAATAACCGTGTTAGATATGTCACGGACAAGGACAATGATATGACATGACATGGGGGGGACAATGGGATCATTTTCACATGACATGTTCATTTTATAATAATTTTTCAAGGACACCAATAGGGAACACCCAGGGGTCTTAATTTAGTTTTTTAAAGCTAATTTGGGGGTTATATTATAATGCTTTGAAGTTGGAAACATGGGAGTTGAATTTTTAAAATTATAGATAAAGACTCATTATCAAACTATCGACAACGCAATGCAGATCAAACCGAAGTGGAAAATGAGGGAAATTGCTCTATTATCTTTGGAGCCTAATGCAAAAATTATATCTAGCTTCTAGATAATTACATTTAGTATTTTTATATATATATGTTAAATTAGTGTCGGTTTTCATTCATTTTAGTTGTTTGTGAATGTAATATTTACATACATAGAAAACAAATATATATAAAACAATTATATTTTTTTGTCGTATCCTCGCCGTGTGACCGTGTCTGTGTTCTGATTTTTTTGAAATTGTCATGTTCCGTGTCCTTGTTTGTATCCGTATCAGTATCAGTATCAGTATCAGTATCAGTATCAGTATCCATGCTTCCTAATGAGCTAGTGTCCAATTGATTTCCAAATATGTATGAAAAGGTGATCAGTGCTTCCTAGTGAGCGAGTTTCCAACTGACTTACAAATATATATGAAAATTTTAATGTTCCAATGGAGCTAAGAACAACAATACCTTCTCATAGGAGGATACAAAATAGCACTCTGAATCTCTTCCTCTGTAATATATGAAGCAAGGCTACAGAGAAAAAATATATTAGCAAAAGTTAGCTGATATTAGGTTCAACACCATGCAAACATTCCTCCTCTATCAAAAATTGAACCAATAACTATATAATTTAATCAACAATAAATAAGAAAGTATAAACCAATAATTACATAATACAAGTCTGGCAGGAGATGGATGCACCTCTAGCCCCAACACTCTTTTTATAGCACTTAAAAGGACTCTTTTAGACCCGACACACCAAACCTATTGATATGGCAACACACATGATGACAGTAACAAGTGCCACCTCATTGCATGAGGGCATAGTTAACAGTCCAATAAGAATGGATGAGCACGGCACTAATCCATAAAAGGCTATGTTAGAACAAAGAACGAAGTGGTCAAATTGTGTAATTATACCATTCAGACTGCTTGCAACATTCCATCTGAAATCAAATGAGCACCTGAGAGAAGAGCTCCCATCCCAATCCTGAATCAAGTCAAAAAGGTTTACGATAGTAGTCATAAAAAACTAAGCACAATATATCTGTGACGTGAACATTAGCACTAACCCAGGAAACAGATACATGTTATTTGCTTGATTTACATGACCCACTTTTCCATTCCCTGACAACAAGTATATGATTGGCAAAGGTCAGAGTAATTGGACAACACACTGAGTAAGACAGGTATATAGAAACTATAGAACTGTTGGTTGCATTGGCTACATAATGAGAGAGCAGAGTGAGACCAATTAATTTATTGATACTGTGCAAAAAGACTCCACAACAATTAGCACCAATATAAAGAAACCATACCAAGGTCAATATTTTTGAAAGGGCTCCCGCTTGCAAAAACTATATTTTCTCCAGCATGATTGAAAGCATCAACAGCGGTGCATTCAGCTGTTCCAGTTAACATGGAAAGACAATGTTCAATAGAGAAATAGTGCTTTCCACAAATAAAATACAGATAGTTTAGAGGGCTTGAAAGCCAAACCATTCATCGTTGGATTTGACATTGCAAAAATGGCAAGTTTAGGGGAATCTGATTCTCGCATGGCCTAAAGCACCTGATTTATCAAAGAAGGCATAGCTTTACCAAGCTCAAAAAGAGGATACACTTTGCCATTGTTGTGCTTAGTGCCTTGCAGCTAGACACTAAGTAGAGAATGGTTTTTCAAACATAGCCAGGCATAGTTACTTATCAAGTAATAGGTATTTTAGAATAAGATCTATACAGTAATGGTAACTTAATTATGAAAAAAGCCAAAATTGTGCATGAAAGGATTAGTAAATTGAGGAAAAAACACCCATAAAAGTAGAGTAAACAAAGTGTCGTTAAACACAAGGATAATTAAAAAGAACAAGGGTTGATGCAGTAAGAAAGAATGTAATTGCCATGGATTTAATTGAGGTATTGTAGCGATCCCAGTTTTGCCACTTCGCTGAGTATGTTGGGGGTCGAGCTGCCCGGTCAACTTGCGGGGGTCCAGGAGGCAGCGCCCCTTGGTGGGTCCAAGGGCAGCGCCCTGGTGGGGTTGAGGGGCAGCGCCCCCAAAACAAAAATGCAAAATGCATTCGAAGTTGCTTGTCCGCTCGGTCGGGTTGGAGTGTCGGGAGTTGAACCGATAGAATTCCGGGCTGAGGACTAGGACCGCACGTGCGGGAGGTGAAGCCGCACGTGCGGGAAACAAGGGAGAGGATGAAGCACACTGCTAAAAAGGCGGGTGCGGGAGTAGGTGAAATCTGAATTTTCTTTCTTTTTCCTCTCTTTGGGCTGAAGTTATATCACTTCTGTATACCTCTCTCTCTCTAAAAACATTTCCTCTTCCTTCTCTCTACATTTCCTACCAAAAACCTCACAAGATCTTTGATTCCTCCAAATCCATTGGAATTTAGATCCAAGTTCTTCATCAAAGTTGGTTATCTAGGCAAGGGCTATGTTGTGTGCGGTGGAGATCGAGTTTAGGTATCGTTGATTTTGGGATTTCAACTCTATTCTTCTTCAAACGTGAGGTAGGGATTTCCTTTGAGTTATATATATGTTTTTGCAAGATCTAGACGATTTTCAAAATCATCTTTTGATTGGTTTTGAAAATTGATTGTTGATTCAAGAAGAAAAGTAATTTTGAAAGTGGGTTTACTTTCTTTTCCTTTTAAAATGAAAATTGAGGGCTTGAATTATATTGATTGTAGAAAGATGATTTTGGTGAGATCCTTCTAAATATTTTGGAGATGAGTGGTTTTGGTGAGAAAACCTAAAAATATGGGTTCTTGAAAGATGTTGAAAATCCTTGGATAATGTTGACATATTTATTTTGGGGGTCAAAATAAATGGATGTTTTGAAAATTGTTTATTTATATATATAAATGATGAAGTTTGTAAAATATGAGAATTGTTGTTCATTTTGGAAATTGTTATTCAAAATGTTTTTTAGTCTTGAAATGGCTAATTTATAGAGAATGCTCAAAATGTGGGAAATGTGGTGTTCCTTGGGGGAATTGGAAATCGAAGTTTATATTCATCTGGTGATATTATTGTTTTGAAAAGAGAAATGGGAGATTTGTTCACAATGGAATTATTGTGTGGAAATATTGAGAATGAAAGAAATGTTGTATTGCATTTACTCATTTCATAGGCATACAAATTCATTTGATTATGTTGAGCTTTGAACGTTGATTTGAAAACCTTGTATTGAGAAAAAAATGTTGGGAAACGGATTTTCATGAAATGGTTTTGGGGTACATACGGTGGTAAGTCTTGATAAGAGGTGTAGATGAAATTGATTAAGTTGGCCTGAGTGTTCTTGGTGAAAGACCAGAAAGTCGCGCGGCTAGGTGTCAAGCCTTCTGGTTAATACCGGTAAAAATGACAATTTGTAGTACTTGCATAGTTTACTTGCAGACACCGACCTAGGGATTACCAGAGTTGTATATACTGCCCCTTGAGTTCAATTGGTTAGTTTTGAATAGTTGGAGTTACATGACATCATTGAGCATGATGATTTTCAAAAGATGTAGATGCGTCTTACTTTTAAAAGAACATAGCATGGCATGTGCATTCATCATCTTGAGACTTGTATAAAATGTATATATTTTGTTAAAGATCTCCTACTGAGCTCACCCTACGGGATTTTTGTGCAAGAAAGGACATGGTGATTCTGCCTAACTAAGGGCGTGAAAGTGTGTGTGTTGGGAGCACAATGCTCTCATTTTGCGTGACTCTGTTTTGTAAGCCAAGGGCTATATTTGTGTGGTTTGAATAACCGATTTGTGTAACCGGGCCTAAGCCTTGGGAACTTGTGAACCCATGAGGGTATTTATTTGTTTAAGTTATTTGATTTGAAGCGAATGTGTTATCACATGAAGACTATTTGTATCATGTAATGCAAGTGTGGAGATTTATTTTCAGATTTACCTTGAAGAGCCATGATTATTGTATTATCATTTAGGTATGAAAATTGGGGTGTTACAGGTATTGCTCTACAGAGAGCATTTTGGGAAAATATTCATGTAGTCAATTCCAAGAGGTTGAAATTAGGTCTTTGTTGAGTTGAGCCAAGTGGATTTAACTAATAGTGATACCAACAAATGACATCTTGATAAGGTATGCTCCTTTATCCTAGTAATAAATAATTGTACGTTTTTTGTAAGAATTTGATTATTTAGCAAAAGTTGGGAAAAAGTAAAATGATAAAAGGGTTAATGAAGACTATCTCTAAAAGGTATTGCCTACATCTAGGAAACAAGAACAAACAAACTTGCAAAGCAAAGGAGTTCCGGAGGGGGAATGTTAGTGTATTTTCCCCAACTAATACCATTTATCAACAACTAACCAAATAAATAGTACAAAACCAACATGCCTTTCCAAATAAAACTAAGCAACCTTTACTGGTTCATTATGCTTCATTTGAAAGTAATGAACGGCAAAACAAACCTAGGGGGCTGCCCACCTGCTCATTGAAGATACCTTCAACTCCAGACAAACCAAGAAGCACATGAGGCTTCACTCTTTTAACCTAAACAAAATCCATTCCCCGCAATTAGTTTTTCTAAATTATGAAAGCATACACAATGTTCTGAAAGATAACAGCAAACATCCTTGAGACAATTGCATGTGCCCAAGAAGCAAGCTAAACAACCAAAGGTTTCTTTTCCACACAATGTCAATCTATATCAGCCTTGCATCAACTTAAATAAGCTGCCAAAAAACACTCCAGTAAGATTTACCATTTCAACGAGATTTGCTCCCTCCCTAAGGCCCAAACCCTCGATCTCCCCAGGGGCTTTAGCAAATGGTGCAGCTGCTAGACCAGCACCCTTCCTTTCCGTTGTAATGAGACCCTGCATTTAAACCAGTACTTCTCAAAAAAAGATGAACCAAAAGTCAAATGGATGATTCTCTGAAAATGTAAACGAAACGACAAAGTTCAGATTGCCATATTATGAGTTTTTCTTCTCAATCCAATGCAGATTCATTCCCACCGTTCATTCAGTTACATGCAGATAAGTAATTGATTATCGTTACTTTGAAAAAAAGGTGAAATTCAGTTGATAACACTAAAAAAAA